TGCTTTTTTTTTTTTTGTTTCTGTTCGTGTTTTGCGTGAATGAAATGGAGAGGAAGAGATTTTTTTTTTAATATTAAACGTAAAAAACGTATTCTGAAAATACGTTTACCGACAATTTAATTGTAAAACGTATTCTCAGAATCCGGTTTAGTAAAATATTATTTTTTTCAAAAAAAATTTATTTTTCTCTTGAAACGTATTTTCATAATACGTTTTGCTAGAAAACGTATTTTCAAACTACGTTTTATAAAAATACATTTTAATTATTATTTCCCTATTTTTTTAAAACGTTTTTTTAAAAAAAAATACATTTTACTTTTTTTAACAACGTATTCTCGGAATATGTTTTCTTGATTAATTTTTTTTTTTAAGAAAATGTATTCTGAGAATACGGTTGTTTTGTTTTGGTCCATTCTTTTTTTTTATTTTATTTTTGTCCACTTAATTTTTTTTTTAAATAAATAAACTTCCCAAAAAGCACAAAAGTTCTATGGAGCAATCGGATTGTTTTCTTATGGAGCCATCCATATCTTAATATATTGACACATGTCCAAATTGAATTTATTGTAAGACACGTGTCAATACACTATTGGTGAATAAGTGTAGATTGCTCTATAAGGCGAGCCATCCGATGGCTCCATAGCATAATTGCCAAAAAGCATCCTCTCCACACAATAAAAAAGAATAAGATTACAACAAATTTTTCACGACTGTTAAATCTGCAAATTAATACTACGACCACGGGCATCTTATTTATCTGACAGATTTTTTAAACCAAATTAAACAGTAATATTAGGTTTTAGAGAAATGAGTGCTCCTTTAACTCTCTCAAACGCAGCTCGCAGAGTGTCGAGAGACTCCGCATAGGAGATTCGAATGCAGCTATCATCTCCAAATGCATCACCCGGGACGAGAGCAACCTATAAAACGGATAAGAAATGAATCAGAAAAGCAATAATAGACGGCCAAAATCAGATAAATCCTTTGCCGGTAAACATTGTCAAACCCGTAAAATTTCAGCATAATGTACGCCATGTTATATTCTTGGAATTCAAATTTCTCATAAACCAAATGAAGCACTTACAAAATATCACATATTAACTTTCATCACAAAAGTTTCTGGTTATCTCCTAATTTTGTAGAAACGAGCTTAATTCGAAGTAATTTGAGTAAAATTTAACAAATGAAATCAGAAATCTTAAATCGCCATTAGATCTGAGCTTCAAGCTCAACAAAACAAACTGAGGATGATGAAGGTCCGATCCCCATGTTAAAACCCGTACATCCCATTATGACCAATGATGGTCCAACACGTTTTCCCAGTAAAAGAGCTGAAAAATGAAAGAAACTAAAACACGCCCTAACAAGTGAGAAATGCGACTTATGCCTCAACAACAACAACAACATAGCCTTTTAGTCCCAACCAAGTTGGGGTAGGCTAGAGATGAAACCCAAGAGAACCAATGGTAAGAGAAACACAAAAAGACTTGTGCCTAAAGCCAGAAAATAAAATACGAAAATGCAGAAGAAAAGAAATAAAGAAAATGCGGTAGCATGCATGCAAGCTTCATAATTCCAACAAATTTCAACAACTAACGATGAAAAAAAAAAGAAAAAAAAAACTTTGAGGTTGTGTTAGTTTACCAATGATCCTCACAAGTGCTAACAGTAAAATATAATACAACGGAACCATCTGTAACTAAATAAGGTATTTCCTCAGGGGTAGTTAAATAAATTATCTCCAAATAACATTTATTCCTTACTTGTGCTTTGTCGAGCAAATATCGGCACAAGGACTCAGAGCCGCTGATCACCCCAAAGTCATCACCCATTGAGCCATAGTAAGAGCTAAAATCAAGAAATAGGTAGAAAGCGCCCTGCCAAAACGTCAACAGAAGTACTTTCATTGATTCGGCTGATTTTGTCTACATTGCAAGAGAGTGCTGTGGACAACTAAAAGAATTGATTTTTTATTGTCAGCAAATTATAATTTGCCAACTCCCGATTCCCTTGATAAATTCCGCTCTAACTTAATCCTCTACTGATTCTGCTTTTCAATTTACTCATGAAACTACTTTTACAACTAATTTACAAACATTCAACTTTTACTAGTCAGAGACGGTACAACTTTCAACATTTCAACAAAAATAACAAATAAGGTAATAAGTTCCTATAAAATCATAAGCTTCTCCAAACGTTCCAAACCTCAAAGACTTACCTGAGGCTCTGAAATTTTCACACCCTCTATTTCTCGAAAGCTTTTGACGAGAAAATCTCTCCTCTCACAAAATGCTTTGACCATAGTCGAGACTGCCTCACCACCTGCATAGCCCAACCCTAAGGCAGCAACAGCTGCTTTCTGTGATATACTGCTGGCACCAGAGGTGGACTGTAGGCACAAAGTTGTGAATTTAATATTAGTTTCATTATTTTATTAATAACAAGGATGAGTAATCTTTTTCAAATAATAGTTAAACATTATCAACATTCTTAGTGTGAAGTTCTGGGAGCATCTTTTTTCGAGCTAAGCTGAGATCCTTGCGGTAAACTGAAAATTGTTGGAAATTAATAAAAAAAATATGGCCGTGATTACTGTTTCAAGTGTTCTAAAACAATAAGCTTGTAACCATATTCTGTATGTCAATAATATTTTATTCCCATGTATACCAAATACACAATTGCTAGGTAATATGGGAATAAATGGATAGAGCAATAAGTTAACCATGCTAACCATTTTTTCCTTAATCCATGTCAAATTGTAACAGACCTGTCTTTGTAGGACGGAAGGAGTAGCAAAATCAAGATTGATGAAATCAATATTTACTGGCGCGTGAGAATAGACAAAACATAAGTTTTTTTAAATAAAAAAAAAAATGATAAAGAGCAGCTGATTATGTACCTGACTTTGGATCTTTCCGCAGGCAGAAACAAAGTGTTTTGGTCCCGCAATATACCCAAGCCTCCAACCAGTCATGGCAAAAGCCTATGCATGTCACACAACATCATATGTTATTAAAACCTCTTGTAAAAATGAAGAGCAAATTTCAAAAACTACCCAGACACTCAGCCTATTACCAGAAAACAATGGCAGTTTTGAAATTACCCCAAATGTGGCTGCCAAACAGAAGACATAAAAACTATAGCATTTTATCCAGGTTTTTTTATCCTTCTTTCCAAACAACCCTACATTTACCTTTGAAAAGCCATTGACGGTCAAAGTGCGGTCCCACATTCCAGGCAAAGATGCAAAGCTCGTGTGGGTTGCTGGGGAATAAATGATATGTTCATATATCTCATCAGACAAAACCTTGGCCATAAAAAGAGTAAAATTAAGCGTCAAAGCTAGAAAATATAAGGGTATTCATGCTTGTAAGCCAATCATATAAAAACATACCAAAAGCCTGGGGTGCCTCGCCACAATTTCAGAAATCTGTTCAAGCAATTTTCGTGGGTAAACTGATCCTGTTGGGTTGGATGGTGAACAAAGAATCAATAATCTGGTTTTTTCTGTCAGTTTAGACTCGAGAAGCTTCGGGTCTACAAGAAAATTTTCGGATATGTGTGTAGGAATGATCACAGGGGTTGCATCGGCTAGTCTGGCCATTTCGGGGTAGCTCACCCAAAACGGGGCTGGAATTAGAACCTACAAACAATTTAAGTTCACTAGAGTGCTGACGAAATCCTGTAATTAAGACACTTTAAGAGAAAACAGACGGAATTCTGTTTTTTTTTTTTCCCCTTTTAAGACAAAGTTTACAGCTGCTTCATATGATGCAATGAAAAACAAAGGCCATTTTTAAGTGAATATATTCCTTCATCAATTGATTTTTTTCTTTATCTAAGTAATTAAACCCACAGCAAAATGATGTTCGTCTAAAGCCGCCAATCCCTGAGGTAAATTATTATTTAAAAACGAAAAGAAACAGTTTTGGTGGTAAATTATGCAACTAACTCCAAAAACTAAATTAGAAAATTAACCATTATGCATTACAGAGCCAAGCTAGGTAATAATTCATGCACAAGGAAATCATGAACTCTTTGCTTTAACCAACTTTACCACAGATGAAAATGGGTTATTTTGGGGCCATCATGCTGAACAATACACAGTTGAACATATAACCGAAGTACCAAGCAACTCAATCTCATGTTTCATTCTCAATCATATCCAGAAAACTGAGCTAAAAAAGGTATTTGTTTTAAATAAGTTTTAAATAAAAGCTACCATAATTACTTTTCAGTCACAACTGCTACTAAAATTAAAATGGGGGAGTCTCATAGAGGATATACCTCATCCCCAGGGGAGCAAACTGCAAGAACTGCCTGAAGAATACTTTGTTTAGCCCCATTACTCACCAAAATTTGATCAGGCGTATATGATATCCCATTCTCCTCTTTCAAATAAAAAAAAAAATAATGAATTAGTAAGATTGTTGAATTAAGATATCAAACAAACTCATGCCACAACAACCAATACCTTTTAGCTTGTGACAAATAGCTGTCCGGAGTTCCATGGTGCCAGCATTAGGGGTATACCTTGTGTATCCTTCACGAATTGCTCTAATTCCAGCCTGATTTTAGAAATAGATATTAAGAAAATAAACTAGATATAATACAGATATTCATTGGCAGAAAAGGAAGGTATTAGACTCAAAGATATTCTCAAGAAAATGCAATTGTAAGAAAATTACACATGGCATCCTTAAGGTCTGATTCTATCTGTATTTTGCCTGGTTAACATGACTGAATATTTCAGATCATCACAAATAACTCAACATTTTGTGTGTAACATCTGCCGCAGTCAGAAAAAATGAAGGTGCAAAATACAATGTAGAACTAAAATTGAGGTTATCTACAACATTCAAAAAGTTTAATAATGTAACTGTAATAATACATGATGGACATAAATGTCAGCTCCACCGATTGCAGGTGAAAATGAAAAATGAAAGACGATTCTCAAACTTAACTAAGCTTTCCTCTCCAAAATAGAAATCGGCCAAATTTCGGGGTTAGATTTTGTACTTAACCCCGTGTTTATCTACGGAAAGCAAATGTTCATCCTGATAAAACTACCTCGGCAATTACAGCTGGAGTGTCAAAATCAGGCTCGCCAGCAGCTAAACGAATAACGGGCACACCAGCTTGCGCAAGTGCAGTTGCCTGGTCAGTAATAGCCACCGTCTTTGAAGGTTTAACTGAATTTACTCTCGGGCTCAAACTTATATCAACCTCCATTTCGTCTGACCCAACCTCAGTTTTCAGCACCGCACTAACTCTTTGTGAATTTCTTTCTCTTTTATGAAGCGATCTATTCGGCAATTCATGTAAAAGTTATATACACATATAGTTGCTGGCAGTAAAATGATTGAATAGGCAAACACGTAAATAAACACTACAGACAAGAGCTCAAGCTCTTTAGTGAGCAAACAGAATCACCATCTGCTAGTTAGCAAAAGTGAGAATTCAAAGTTTGAAAAGTGCTTTATTGATGTGTAGAAGTCAAACTAAAAGCATGATAGGAAATCAAAAAAACATCCACCCCTCTACTTTCTAATTCTCATCCAGTGAAGTAGAATCCGAATCAGGTGAATTTCAACTAGTGCCCACATGGGTTGCGATCGGATGGAAAACCCCAGCGCCCATTGGGTATGATCGAATCTATCCCAAATTAAAAGCTGACATTTGCCACTCTAAAGTACGATATGAATTTGGTTTTGAGCACGGATTTCGTCGATAAAAAAAAATGGATTCAAGTAGATTTTTATGGAACGAATCAATAAGCTAGACCCATACTGCGCGTTGTTTCGTGCCATAGATAAACTCGAACACTTGGTGCTATGAACATCCATAATTCGAATCCTAAGAAGATAGTAAGAAAGAGAACAAAGCAGAAAAGCTAAATTCCGATTACTACCCTCGCAAACACTCTGTAAATAACTTGGCACGCATACAGAAAATGTACCGTTCATGAGAAGTTTACATCGCTAAAAATGGGAGAAATACTATTTCATGATACTTCTTTAAGCATTAATTTTTCTTCAATTAAGAAACAACACAGCAAAATGTGATCACACATTAACCTAACAAACCAAAATATCCCGGAATTAAACTCAACTCGTTTCGTCGGCGAGCAAGATCGATTTCGAAGGCCTTGTTGATTCTTGATGAGATTTGAGCTGTGGCTGCGCGGATGAAATTAATGGCTGCTGAGTGCAGGAGGTGGCTGCCGCCATCCAAGTGATGAGAAATTTTTTTTGGTGGGCTTCTGAACTTCTTTAAAATTATATAAAATGCTGAAAAATGGAGAACATGAGTGTTGTTATGTCCTGAACACACAGGTGAGGAGGAGGAGGAGGAGGAGGAGGAGGAGCTTGGTTGAGATGATGTTAACGGAGTTAGGTTGGTGGGAAGACGGAATTTGGGGTAGTTGAAAGTGCGTGTTATAGCATTTTTCCTTTGCAAGGTGAAGTTGGGTGAAGTGTTCAAACTTAAAAGATGATTCAATCTTGCTCACTTAAATTTATCAAGGTCTCGTGAGATGATGGGATTGGATAAATTAATTCCTCTAATTTGTCACGTCAGATTTTGAATATAAATTGTCTCATTTTACTAAAGTGGATAAAAGTCTATGATAAATACATTAAATTATCAATTTAATTAATTAAATTAATATTTTTATAAATTAAATAATATTATTTCAAATTTAAGAAAATAATATTAAACAATATTTTTTAGATTAAATAATATTATTCTAAGTTTAATAAAATTATTTTAAATTATATATAATTATTAATTTTATTTTTTATAAATTATAAAATGTTAGTTTAAATTAAATTATTTTATATAAAACAATATTTTTTAAATTAAACAAATTTTTTTAAATTAATATTTTATAGATTAAATAATATTATTTTAAAATAATAAAATATTTTAGATTAAATAATATTATTTTAAATTATATAAAATTATTTTATGAATTAAATAATATTATTTTAAATTAAATTAAATTATTTTATATTAAACAATATTTTTTTAAATTAAATAAAATTAATTAAATTAATACTTTAAAAATTAAATAATATTATTTTAAATTAAATAAAATTATTTTAGATTATATATAATATTATTTTAAATTAAATAAAAGAATTTTAAATTAATATTTTATAAATATCTGCTCAAAATTAGAACTCAAACTTGGGGATAATATTACTCGCCCAAAATGGGCAGACAAAACAATCCCTCCACATCAGATTAATGAAGAGAGACCCACATGCCTATCAGAATTGTTCTTTCCTTTAACCAACCTAGCAAACATATGATAAGGTTGGTTAACCAACCTTATCATATTCTATCAACCCTAGTAAACGAGTCCAATTGTGATAATACCAAGCCCAACTCATTTTCCAAATTCTTAAGGCAAAATACATATATACACACAATTTATTTTTTTTGTTTACCACTCTTATGTTAAAGTGATTCATTTTATTCCAACTCAATCGACAAGTAAAGATTTTTACTTTCACATATACTGCATAATTATCGTTTAATCTCTCTCCCCAATCAAAAATAAAAATAGTTAATTGTTACATACTTTAAGACAGACTTTAACTTATAGTATAATTTATAATTTGTATCAAACAACTTTCTCATGCTCGTAAGATCCAGCAATGGCTTTTTATTCTGATTGGTCACAAGAGACTTCTTGTGGATCTGCAGGTGGGACTTGTTGATCTTTAACTCAGCACACTAGACTAAATCTTGTATTATTGTTAAGTTTATTTATATCATGCATGTTACCGTATTGAATGACATTACGTGCTATCATTTCAGTTCATGGCCGTTAAACTATAAATAAATATAAAATAAACCTCATAAGTGTAAAATAACTTATATAAAGAAATGAAATGTATAACATATAAATCAATATGTGACAATAAATTATAATAGACTGATTTTAAACGGGAGTTCAACAAGTGTATTATTTGAGAATTAGGTTTTCTACTATACAGTTAATACACGACATATAAATTGTAAATATTTTTTTGATGCTTACTTTTTTGGTTGGGTACAAAAATTTTGTTTTAAAGCTTTCAAAAAGACCCGTATGAAATTTGTATTCCAACCACAAATAAGCGTATCATAATACCACAATACTATTTGAATATTAAAACAAAATGCTTTTATATCCATATACCATTTATGACATTATATAATCAGTAACACAATCGTCATTATCAACAAAAATAGTAGTTATTAAATCTAATTATTTATTGTTGTTTTCGTTTCAGTAGTTATTTTTTCCAACAGTTATATCTAAAGTTTACTCAGTTTGTTCCATGTAATATACTTTGCAGTATAAGTAGATTTTGGCTCAGTATATTGTTTAAAGCTTTGATGTTAAAAGACCTAGATCGGTAAAATAATAATAATAATAATGAGAGAATAATGCAGTTTTTCAAGCCGTGAGAGTTATTAACATAAGTTCCTCGTGTACATATATGTCAATCGTCATAAAATTGATTGTTTGAATAGGGGGGAGGACTTCGATCCATGTATTGTGTTAAGTTGAAAGATTTTCCGTTACAAAACACATATCCCACTAGCATAATTTCAGTATTTTACCATATTTAAATAAGATTTGACTTGGTAAGACCATATTAATTGTAAATAAAATTGTTGCAGAAAGGTAACAAGGTTGTACAAAAATATATCTAACAAGTTAGCCTAGCATTTGGGTCTAAAAGTTAAATAAATGTGGTTAGGAGGGCAATTTTCTCAATTCTCAACCCATATAAAGCTTTCTTTGGGCAAAATGTAAAATTGCAAAAATCATCCATTTTTGCATAAAAAAATACCCTTCAAACCATTAAGACCAAATATGCCAAACCTAATGGGGATTCAGAAGCAATCTTCAACTAAATATTTAGGCTTACCCTTAGGTATTGGAAAATCCAAACTAGGCATTTTTTCTTACATTGAAGAACTTGCTAAACAAAGGCTTTCATCTTGGAAAAATAAGTTTTTTTCTAATGTAGGTAAGGAGATCCTTCTAAAGGTTGTCCTGGAAGCCCGACCCCTCTATATCATGTCATGCTTCTTGCTTCAAGTTTAGCAAAAACATTAATAGGGCCTTTGCATCATTCTGGTGCGGGCAGATTATGTTGGATATTGGGTGTAAAATTACACGAGAATCCTACGAACTGATATGTAATTTTCAGTTCTTACAAATAAACCAAAAAATAGAAAATTACAATAGATCTGAAAAATAAATTACAACTGAAAAACGGAAAGATTTTAGCCGAGGCGAGTAAAACTCTTTCCGCAAGAAGAATACGCCTCGTGTGTCAGCTAACAGTTCAGGCGTAACTTCTCCAAAGATACAACGGCAAACGTCTCTGTTGTTATGCGATTCCTAACAACGATTTTAGGTCTGTGTTTATTTAGTGATAATGATCAATTCGAACGTAAAGCATGGATAAAAACTTCAACAATGGCCCCGGTCCGAGGTGAACCGAGGTGAAAAGCCTTTAAGGGTTGTTTCGTGTTTCATTATCAAAGAGTTCGGTTTTTCCGGAATCCAATCCTGTACAAGTACCATTAGCTAGCTATTTATAGTAACTTTTTTTGGAATATACATCGGGATCCGTGCGTTGCTTTTTCGATAAAGCTACTTTTGATGGGCGACAGAGCCAGTGGGCCCTACGTAAATGATAACAAATCTCGTGGATCGTGAAAAGGGCGTGTAGGCGCCTTGTCACCTGCTTTATGAGGTGACGACCTCAGTTCGTGGTGACCTCGGTTTGGAGTGACCTCGGCGGGTAGGGATCACTTCGGTCTTTTATGGTTGTACCGGTTTATTGTGCGAACCGGGATGTCTTTGGGTCACGTCGGTGTTGGAATCAAATTCGCTTAAGATGCTGTTCAAGGTACTTAATTGTGTTTTACCGAGTCGGATGATAACAGAGAGGCCCCCAATATCGGTGAGTATACGGAGTGATGGTCACCGGTATTGCAAGCCAAACAGAAGCTTCGAGTCGGTGGGAACTTGGAAGCTGGACATTCTTTGTCCTTGGTATTCCGATGTGCCTAAGGTGACCGGAGTGGGTCGTCTGTTCCGAAGTGAAGGTTAGTTTCCGAGGTGGATACACTTGGTAAAATTTGGGCAAATCACGGATGATTCTTAAGATGACTTGAAGAAACGTAACGGTCGAACATATTAAACGTATAGTGCGAAG